AATAGTGAAATATAAGGTTTATTTTAAACTCAGATATTAGGAATTTTTAAGGTACTCAGTTTCTTAATACTTTTTTATAGTTTAAAATTCAAGTTTTATACTAAGAAGAAAAAAAAAAATTTTAGCCCTTTTGTTTTCAGAAATATATTAGTACCCTTACCTACTTTCTGTATGCCAAAATAGATGCCTAATCTTTTCGTTGTTAAATTGTTTCTTCTCAGGCATTTTAAGACCAAAAAGCATGTAAACAAATCAGCAACAGAAAGATTGCTAAGAAAAAGCTTCTATTGTGCTCAGTGACCTCAAACACCTAGACACCTTTATTTACATACATATGTGTATCTATGTACACTACGTACATTCATCTAATTAGAGGCGCCGCTGCTGACAGAGAGGCCAAAAGAGCAGACGAAAAACGCAACACAAAAGAAGAGAAAAGGTTAGGAAATTAAATCTAGCTAAACATTTCCTATTAGTGGAATTTATCGATTGATGGTTTTACTAAAAGCTATAGCTATAAGACTGAAATCAATCAATTTGCTGGAATGTTTATCAATCAGCTTATATCTTGGCCATTGTACATAAGAACAGATGTTGAAAGTAAGGGAAGCAAACTGACAATTATTTCTTGGTAAATATTACAAGATCTGTTTTTAGGTTTTGTTGATTTTATATAGAAAAACTATTTTCAAGAAAATAAAAAATCCATTATTAAAAAAAAATGTTGTTCTAAAATCTTTTTACGAGTTTTTTAGCTAAATTCCAATGTTTACTTATAAAATTTTTGTTTGAAATTTTTCTTTGATTTACGATTTAGTATTTTTAATAATGTTATTTCATGTTAGATGAAAGACCTTCCGCTCCTAATTAGAATCTAGAACTCAGCAGCCACCGTACCACTGAAAAACATTCACAATCACTCGACACGCAAAGTATCGTGATAGAGACGAAGAAAAAAACAAACATCGCCATTAATAAAATAAAAAAACATTGCCTTTTCCTCCGTTCCTCCGTCATTCAAATCCCCAAAATGTTCAACAGGCCAAAGCTGTTGATTGTTTTATGCCACCGAAGATCAAAAGACAAATGACGAAGTGGGCGTGAAGTGTTGCGGTTTTTGGGATGTTGATTTGAAGGATTTGATCTCTGAACTCACATGACGTAAATAATGAAGGGATCAGCTTAAGTGCCCAGACTTTTTAAATACCCTCTTAGATGACTGATAATCTTCCAATTTAAAAAATTTATTTAAATATTTCTGATTATTTTGATAAAATTCCCAGTTAAATTTTTTGGATTCAAAAATCTTTAAAGCTCAATAAAATAAAAACCCAGTATAATAAATAAAACTAAATTTATCTAGAAACAAAAATAAAATCATTAAATCAAAAACATAAATATATTCTCGCAAATTCCACTCTTAGACTGAAAAATGTTTGACCTAAATAATCACACCCTCAAGCAACAGCATATAAACGAAATGTGATAAAAATGACAAGGCACATGATAGCACAAAAAGCTTTAATAAGAACAATTCGTAATTGTGTTAATCTAATCAAACGCGAATAAACTTTAGTATAGAAATCTGGATTAATTGGTTAGCAACTCTTAAAAAAAACTTTAAAGGGGGTTCATATATATATCTTATTGTTTTTTATTTTTACTTTCATTCTGGGCCAGCGGTCAAAGCGGTCAAAAGAAATGACAAGACAACAAAATAAAAACCCCAATGAGTTATATATGAAAAATGTATACCCAGGCAAAACATACAAAAAGAAAAACATTTTTGCTGACAATAAAATATGCGAATGCGAGTGACTTATATAAAAGATTTGCAAATTGCAACCCCATAAAATAACCCGAAGAATCCTCTTGAAAACAAATTAAACAGAAATTACCTAAAAATAAAGGCAGAACCAAAACAAAAAAGCAAAACGAAACAAAACATAAATAAACCCACAAAAAAAAAAAAAAATACGAAACCAATTTGCGAAAACCAGTTTTAGTCAGTTACAGAATTTAGAAGATTCATTTGGGGCACACTTTTCACACATTTTCCCCAGAATCACGTGCAAAGCCAAATAAATCGGTGGGCGTGTGCCGCAATTCGGAGGTATCGATAAAATCGTTTCTATATATACCGAAGATCGCCTGATCGGCGGAAAATTTTCCATTCGAAATAAATAAAATTCCTCAATTTTTTTTGTTGGAAAAACATTTATCCAATCGGACGGACAAGGGGATCATAAAAAATGCCTCTTGAATGAAAATTTATTTTCCCTCTTTGCCAATACATAATTTGGCGTTAAATAGCAAAACAAAATCTTTTTCGACGTCAACGGCATGAAGAAATTGGGAAAATATTCAGTTTCCATTTGCTTGCGTAAGCAAAAATGTTGTTATTGCAAACAACAAATAAATTTTAAATTTTAAGCCATAAAGATCACAATTTTTTTGTTGCTATTTTTAATATTTTTTTGTTGTATAGTATCCGTTTTGGGAACGAAATGGCACGTGGCCAGTATGACACAGAAAACTTCCCATATATATAGAATTTAATATTGGCTTATTTTATAAAGGTTTGGATAGTGCAAAATAAGATACATTTAAATATATGAGCCTGCTTTGAAAATATGTTGAACATGTTCTTGATAAGGCTTTAACTATATTAATTTTTTATAATTCAAATGTCTATCTAATCGGAATTTTATTCTGATGAGCCGTTCTAAAATTTATTTGCATATAATTCGATGTTAGTTTAAGATGAAGAAACATCTTAATGCTGGTCATTAATTTAATCTTTTCAGGATAGCAGCTAATTTTAATCACATGATCAGCATATATTACATATAAAAAAAAAGAACTTTTATTAAAAATCACTGAAAAAATAAGCAACCGAAGAAAAAGCAAACAAGCACGAGAGTGATGAAAAAATTGCATTTATTTTTAAACAAATTAATTGGCAGCTGGCCAAATGCCATAAAAACGTGAATGTTTTTATTTGTTTGCTTTTCCCACAGCGCGGGCCAGAAAAATTCTATACTTCAGGTTCATTATGTTAAGCGAATATTCAGTACTTATAAATGGAATATAGATAGTATTGAAATTGTATATTTCGATTCATTTTGGGATCAGCACACGTCGCACCTAAAATTTTCAATAGTATGCAGATTGCTTTACATATAAATGGGTTTTATCCATGCGCACATAATGCCACTGTGCACAATACTCATTATTTTGTAAATCAAAATCAAGGCCAATGTCGACAACGACGAGGGGGTGATGCACTAACGGTACGATTGGATTGGATTGGAATGGAATCGAAAATGCATTTAGTGGCTTTCGCCTTTTTGGCGTTCTGGCAGCAAGTGTGGCTAGCAAATTTGAATATCAAAGAAAACTGAATACGTAAAATATTCCACTGTATAAAGGCCTCTTTCATAATCAATTAAATTGCAGCGTAAACAAATTGTTTTTCAAGTTCTAAAATGCAATCGCTTTAAAGGGGGTATTGAAATAAATCGATTTTGCCGTTTGGAAATTTCGCTAAACAAATTATTTTAAATATAAGACGCATTTTATTTACCAATCGAAACTTTATTTGGCTCTTCGTTAATTTCAGTCAGAAGTTTTCAACGCAATAAAGGAGACATCTCCGACTTTATTTAGGTGTTTTCAAGAATACTTAGATTTTGCAATAGGTGCAAGGGTATATAAACTTTGGCTTGCCGAAGTTGGCTTAGTTTTTGTTTTTTTTTACATGTTTTAAACATTTTTTGTTTACACCCCGGAACGAAATTCGTTGTAAAAATTGTTATGAAAAAAAAACAATTTAAGTAAGAGTTAATTCCAACGCCAAAGCGAAAACTAATTAAATAAATAAAAACAAAATTTGTAAGGGGCATACTCTAAAAAACTTTTAATGCTTTCAGTGAAAATATATTTTTGTGTTTCAAATTGTTCACTTTTACTCCCAAAAAATCAACTCTATTTTTTTTTGCTTTTTTATATTGCGTGCACAAATCGATTGTAAATACAAGTATTGCTGCTGTAATGATGTTTGCACAGAGCAGTTGCCTTAATTTGACAGTCCGTTGCCGTCGGTTTTTCAAATAAATATAAATTAAATTAATTTATTTTATTTTATTTCACGGTTGCATGCTGTAATAGCCCCACAAAATGTATATGCAAAACAAATAAAAACAAGTTGGGTTGTTGAGAAAATATATACTCAAGCGGGTTTTCAGCACTGTGCAATTTGGACATATTAGCTTTGATTGTTTTCAAACACATATAATTAATTTATTTTGGTGTTTACTTGCCGTGTTCTCGCTCGAAAATTTCGGCCTGTTTATTGATTAATGTTTTTTTTCCACTTAGCGAAATAAAAAGCAAACAAATACTCTCTTGTGGAACGCATAAATTAAAATTTCCCACTCAATGAAACATGTGCTTGGATTGGTCTGTACATCATCTGATTTTCTTGATTTTGTGTAGGAGGCACGTGAAAAGAGATTTTCCTTTTAATGATTATGTTCATTAATTTAGCGTTGTATATTTATGAGTTTTTTATTTCTAAGTATTTATTTGACTCAGTTCTTAGTTATACATTTGCTGTTCACAGTGAAAATAAAAAAAAGTTATTTATATAAATAAAAGGAAATGGAATTTATATGAAAATATTTCTTGAAATAAATATGCATATTTTAATTTTTATTACTATTAGAACTTTGAATTATATGTATTCTATGTATTTATACGTAATTAACCGTTAAATAAATTAAATCGATTTGGGATTGACTTTTGTATGTTGGCACAAGTTGATTTGGATATATCCTTACAATATTGTCATTTTTATCTTTTTTGCAAACCTAGTTCTTAGCCTACATTTCTTTTAGAATAAACTTAAACAGATTGTGTTTTGATAATTACCATATGTAAACTGCCACGAAAACCATACCATAAAATACTTAAAACTATGTAAAGGCTTGAACACTCACCAGTTTGCTTTGGTAGATTGTAAAAGTCGAGGGTTTTGATCTCGGACGTCTCGACGTGCGGGGCGAACCCCTCGTACAGGTCGCTCTCCTCCACAATGCCGCTCAACTTGTCGGCCTGGGAAGAGGCATCTCCGCCCCGATGGTATGGCATCTTTTTAGCCAGCTTTGCGGTCGCTCCGGGTCCTCTGTCAAGTTTTGATTTGGGTTTGCCTACACTCGAGACCTCGCTTTTTCACTCCAGGCAGTTTTGTTGGCGAATTTCCTTCGTTGTTTTCGTTCGACTAGATGGCTTTCTTACTTTGCAGTGCTTCGCTTTCCGTTGTGGGGCAATCAATTTGCAAGCCTTGTTGGGGTTTTTTTTTTGTATTATTATTATGATTATATTTATATTTAATTTGATTTAATTAGTGGCCAACTTATGGAGACAGAAATACTCCAATACGATGATGCCGCGCGGAATTCATTATAGTAAACGATTTAGCACGAATACTGCAAAAGCATAGCTATGTGTGATAATCAAATCGCAAGTGTCGGCGCTTCCAAGTCTGGAATAAGATAAAAGTTGGGAAATTTGTTTATTATTTTCGTATTTATTTCGAGCAGCCCAAACAAAACAAACAGCTGGGAGTCAATCAACATCAATCGGCTAGGCCAGATATCAATAGCCTATGGATACAAGTCCTTCGAGTCGAAATCGAAGTCAGTTCAATGACATGACCCATCCGGACTGCAGAGTAGATAATGCCAAAGGCGCCATTGGCCCATAAAATACTTGGCCCGTTCATTAATTGCGAGTCGGCTATAAAAAGCCAACTGGCCAGATTTATAATATACTTATATAAAATCGCACGCATATATAAGGCGTTTTTTCTGCTGAGGGTGACTCTACCAACAGCAGCCGGTTTAGTAACTAATTAAACCCAACAGAAATTGGAAAAAACAAACAAATTTGGCGCAAATATTTCACTCGGCTATAAACAAACGTATGTACTTATATTATACAAAGACTTGCTAAGCAATTTATTTAAAAGATCATAAAAGTCTCATGGATTTGTTGGTTATATTTTATTGTTTTTTAGTAAAATAAATGAAGGAACCGATTCGAATTTTAAGAACAATTTGTTGAACAAACCCATTCATTAAATATTTTAAATCTTAAAAAACCCAGATTTTGTTATCCCAATCATTTACTCAACTTATCAAGTTTGGGAACAAATCCCTGCCACATTTTCTTTAATCACTTTAAGCCAACAAACCCATTTAGCCTAATCAACCGTGGCACACGCTGCGTATACTCGACATTCAACTGCTTTATTTTGCACTCCCCCACTCATCTCTTCATCACGTTTGAAGAACTAAAGACCGGCTATTTAAATAAAGTGTGTTTCTCTCCACCATTTTCTTTCGAAAATTGTCCGTATATTTCGTTCTGTTTTTATCAGAATTCGCACGGCAAAGGAGCACCAAAGCAAACTAAAAACTGAAATTGAATTGCAAATTTTTTAACAAAATTCCGGGCACGCATCGAGAGCCAAGCAACGGCAAACCACTCTTCTTATGTTTTTATTTTCCATTTTCCTTTGACACTCTTAATGATTTCGCCTGTCAAGAACAGCATTTCAGGGGGGCTTTATGGGGGCCTAAGAGGGTCCGACATCGGATAGAGAGACAGACAGGTGTGATAGATCGCTGCGTTTGCTTGATTGGCCGTCCGATAGAAGGTGTCGGACTTTTTACCTGGCCAGCAGCAGCAGGAGCGGGGGTAGCAGGTGCCGTCAAGCGGATTTGTGCCCCAGACAAGTTGTATCTATGGCAGCTTCAAAGCGAACTTAGATAAGAAAAGTTTGTCAGAGTGTCTTTATAATTAATATGGAATGAAGAGATAGCCATAAAAAAATGTAATTAAATGTTAAACTTAACACATCTCCAAAATGGTGTGGCTATTGTCTAAAAACATTTAACAGAGATAGATTTAAAAGACGTAAACAAAATCCAATAGTTTTAGTATTTTAAATAAATCTTTTTTGGCTAAAATATATCCTTTAAAGTGCTGTAAATATTTCCAGCAATAAATCAAATTATTTTTGATTTTTTTCATATTTTTCAACAACCAGGCCGGAAAGCATTTTCTTGCCAGCGCTTCAATGCGTTTCGTAAGCCTCCAGGTAAGAGCTCTGCCCTTCCTCAGAACAAACATCGGGGCACTTAAGCCGCGTTAATTGACCGAACACAGTCCCATTTTATATCACTCCACTCAACTCGGCTCAACCTGACTCGATTCGCTTCGTTTTGATTGGATTGGTAATGTGCAATTTTCATATGTATGTCAATATTATGCTACGTCTAGTTTTTTCAAGGTGCCTCGGGTTACGACGTCGGCAGCAACACGGCTTTACACAAATAGCGGCAACAGGTATCGCATGGACATGCATATTGAGTTATTAACAATCGTTTACATCGTAGTTGAGCTGCTTGTTTGTTTGTTGTTTGCTGCCTCCGAACTCGAGAACGTTATCTAAATGTTATAATGCACCCAATTTGCGCTAATGAAATCAAACGGAGCGCCACTCAATTGAATTCAATTGGACAGTTTACAATGACTAACTTAACTAAACTCAACTAAGCCTCGAGAGACACAAATGTTTCGGCATCGAATCGATTAACGCTCCCGGGGACCAGCAGCTAATTAAAACGTTTATGCTAATGAGGCGACACGCCGCCATGTCGGTGTCGCGAGATGTCAGCCAAAAGCTGGAAAAATCGACAAAAAAAATGTAGAACGAAAATGCTGAAATGCCCGAGGTTAAATGAGCCAAAACTCGAATAAAGTTTTCACTGCTACAGAGCGTTGCAGATAGTAAATATATTTTAGCATTACTCATTAATTATAAAGCTATTGATTGAGTGAGGATTTGCATTCCAACTAATTTTCTTAATTATATTTTTTTGTTTTATTTATTTCTTTCTCTCACTCTTTTTATTTATTTATTCATAGGCTAGGCAAGACATAAAACCGAAATCAAGTCAATTAGAGACAAAACTAGGTAAAACAAAATCACAAGCAATCAGCTAAGCAGGTTCCAAGCATTTTCGGTGCTAATCATTGGCCACAATGGGTTAATCGGCGATTGCCCAAGTATACTAATACCACAACTATTATGTGGGCTTGTGGGTGGTTACAGTGACGCAAGTGCAACAATCGGTGGGTCAAGTCGAGACTCGATTCGATATGTTTACTAGTTCTCAGTGCAATTTGCGTCAGTTAGCGAAGAGGAAAAACTTTTGAGGTTTCCAAGTAATTTTCCACCACGCCAAAGTATACCGAAGTTCTTTGATACTTAGGAGATACTTGGTCTTTGGTTTCTGCATTTCTAACAAAGGGAAGTTAATCCTTTTTATGATAAGATGGCCAAAGAGCAAACTGAGTAAAAAGTGGAAATCCCAGAAAAACCAGGAGCAGATGAGGAAAATAATAATAGAGTAAAAACAATTAGTAGGATAAGGTCCTTAATAATAAAACAAAAACTTGAGTTGATATATACTTTTTAAATAATTTTTAAAGTCTGTTTATCATTTATTGAATATGTTTTTACTAGTCTTAATTCATTCAAGTTTTTTAAGGTTTCTATGTCTCTAGAAGACCTAGTTTTATTTTTGTTTTGTCGATGTTTACAAGACGCCATCTATTTTCTTTTTAATTAACATCCGAATAGGTGACATTTTGGAAATAACTAGGTCACCTGCTTGGGGCTCAAGGCAAGTCAAGTAAAGGTAAGTACCTCCCACACCCACTTGAGGGGAATTTGCATACGATATGAGAGGGGTCGTGTTGGATGGTAGGCGTACTTTTAAGCCGCACCTGAGGAACCTTTCGAAGCGATGCTTAAACGTTTTCTAACTAGGCCGAGCACCTGTCAGTATTCTACACGAAAAATGCTAGAATGCCTTGAAAGTTCATTGACTTAGGCCAGGTCCTTCAGCACACCCCTGACCACCCTTAAACATCACAAAGTCCTTGCCAGCCCCATTTCTGTTCAATGAAAACTGTGTCAGTTCTAGCGAAAAACGGGGAAATGAGCTAGCATTAAACAAGCCAGCCATTTTTTACTCTTGCAGTTAAAACGTTTTCTCAATATCATATTGGAGAGTATCTGACTGAAAAGTCTTAACAAGAGAAAAGTTCTAGTCTATTCGACCGGAAAACGAAAACGACAGTCCTAAATTCGTTCCGATTTTTAGGGCAACAGACCAATTGTCTTTCGAAAAACATACAAAAACTTTGTCTTGCAGATTTCGAACTAAAGCCCTAACATGAAATTGAGAAATCGATCCTTGTTAAACTATTTAGGTAGGTCAACAACTAAAATACTTTATTTTTATGCTTATTTTAAAGGAATTAAAAGAATCAGATGTTTTCGATTATATACCAAGTTACGAATAACAATATTGCCACTGAAAGGGAATATAAAAAAAAGGGAAGCTAAAAGCTGAAAAGAAAGCAAAAAGGCAAAAAGGACATGAAGTAAAGGGAGGTGGGCTAGTCGAAAAGGGAAGTGAAATTATGCCATCGCTCGGTTCAGTAAGTCCTTAAAGTACAGAAAATGTGGGACAACGTAGGACTTATTGTGTGGGTGTGTGCGTGATCTGGTACATATGTATGTGTTGGCGTATTATTTTATTTATTTTTGTGTGGGTGTGACAGGACACTTTGCGTCAGCAGCAGCAGCAGACCGAAAAATAACAACAAAGATAGAATTGCGTAGTGGCAACTTGAACTGGGTGTGTACTAAGCTTATTGAGGGGGTGGAAATCAGCGAAGAGAGGGGAAAATGTAGAACGGCAGACTTTCAGAAGAGAGAACGAGCGGAAGGAGGGTTCCGAAATCAATGAATGAAAGTACCAACGCACGCATGAGCAAGTGAAAGGGAAAGGGAAAGAGAGAGGTGGCCAGGACCATGGAAAAACCAGGACCTGCAAATAGATTTTCTAATAAAGTTAGTGAAACCTTGTAATTCAATCTTGACAAAACATTGAAGAGGAGTTTAAGACGTATATTTATTAATGTAAGGAAAATAAAATGTTATTAAAATGTTGCAGGCTGAGAAAAAAGTTTTTAAATGGATTAGGAAACAAAATGGTAATTTTTAACCATAACTGACAAATAGTATAAAGTTTCTTAGTTACAGTCATTGAAATTCATAAAGTTTAGAAAAGCAAAGCTTAAGTTTTGTACTGAACAATGAAATGTTTTAATTTGTTATCTAAAACTTTTTATTTACACATCAAGTTAAGGAAAATAAAGCATCCCATTCAACTCTATAAGGAAGTCTTATATTTGAGTCTTATTTTATTAAAATCTGAACATACAAATCAATTGAACTTCTAGCTTTATCATAAAAAGAAAGAGAACTAAATATTAAATAAAATGAAATGCCAAAAATCTGTATTTGTTCATGAGTAAATGTATCTCTTTGTCTTTAGCAATTATTCCCAGTTGATGCAAGTGTAGCCAATTTACTTCCCAAGCGTAATCGAATCAATTTAA